ACAGTATTATATTAGTATTATATATATATATATATATATATATATATATATATAATTAAATCTCATTAAATATGCATAAGACTTTACATGTAGGTAAGAATTAAGTTCCCAATTGTAAGTCGCTTTGGATAAAAGCGTCTGCAAAATGACTAAATGTAAATGTAAGTTATTTACAAAAGCAATTACCAAAAAAATGTGAGCGTGTGTATATATGTATGTACGTATTAAAAACACTAAACATTCAATCTAAATATAAATGCATAAATTAATATTAAATAAATTACTGAATACAATTTAAATTGTCTTTTTATGTGAAATACTATAAATATTTCACAAATATTATTTGACAAATAATGTCTGCTGAAAGCTCATTTTGGGGAGGCAGCCTATAGTTAAACTGTATTATATGTAATTGTCTGGTTGCTTAACGTGTGTGACTTTAGTAGTGCTATTTAAATAAACCAATTTATATAAAATATTATATTTAATAGAAAATAGAACAAACCAATTGTGTCAGACAAGTGTGTCATGTGATGGAGATCCTCCAAAAGCCCAGCCGTGTTTTCCTACGAGTCCTCCAGCAACCGCAAGATCTCTTACTGCGGACGCAGACGATTTCAGACAACCAGCTCAACTAGAGCCGCGCTCGAGCTTCAAGAGACCGTTCATATTATACCTATATTATATATTATATCATACATCACTGGATCATCAGATGATTATACATCTCAGTCTAGTTAGCTATATTATTGTTAGTTCATTTTGGTATCTATTATGGTAATATTAGCTATAATAACGGTTTTAGTAATATTAGCTAGTTTTAAAGTCGCTTATTTATGTTCGAAATCATTTATTTATACCAGATGAGATTGATTAATTAATTAAATAATTTTTTACGTTTTGGAATGTCTGTAGGGTTATGCAGCGAATAATCTGTTTTATAGATGATAAATGCAAAAAAACAAAAACAAAAAAATTAATGATGAGCTCAGATAATTGGTATTTTAATTATATATATATAAATATATATATTTCTGCTGTCAATCAAAAAAAAAATTATCTAATTAATCGCATTATTTTTCTGAATTGTGTGTAAGTACGTGTGTGTGAGTGTGTTTGTCTCTGTGTGTGTGTGTGTCTGTGTGACTCTCTGTGTGTGAGTGAGTGAGTGAGTGAGTGAGTGAGTGTGTGTGTGTGTGTGTGTGTGTGTTTGAGAGTGAGTGAGTGAGTGAGTGAGTGAGTGTGTGTGTGTGTGTGTGTGTGTGTTTGAGAGTGAGTGAGTGAGTGAGTGAGTGAGTGTGTGTGTGTGTGTGTGTGTGTGTTTGAGAGTGAGTGAGTGAGTGAGTGAGTGAGTGTGTGTGTGTGTGTGTGTGTGTGTTTGAGAGTGAGTGAGTGAGTGAGTGAGTGAGTGTGTGTGTGTGTGTGTGTGTGTGTTTGAGAGTGAGTGAGTGAGTGAGTGAGTGAGTGTGTGTGTGTGTGTGTGTGTGTGTTTGAGAGTGAGTGAGTGAGTGAGTGAGTGAGTGTGTGTGTGTGTGTGTGTGTGTGTTTGAGAGTGAGTGAGTGAGTGAGTGAGTGAGTGTGTGTGTGTGTGTGTGTGTGTGTTTGAGAGTGAGTGAGTGAGTGAGTGAGTGAGTGTGTGTGTGTGTGTGTGTGTGTGTTTGAGAGTGAGTGAGTGAGTGAGTGAGTGAGTGTGTGTGTGTGTGTGTGTGTGTGTTTGAGAGTGAGTGAGTGAGTGAGTGAGTGAGTGTGTGTGTGTGTGTGTGTGTGTGTTTGAGAGTGAGTGAGTGAGTGAGTGAGTGAGTGTGTGTGTGTGTGTGTGTGTGTGTTTGAGAGTGAGTGAGTGAGTGAGTGAGTGAGTGTGTGTGTGTGTGTGTGTGTGTGTTTGAGAGTGAGTGAGTGAGTGAGTGAGTGAGTGTGTGTGTGTGTGTGTGTGTGTGTTTGAGAGTGAGTGAGTGAGTGAGTGAGTGAGTGTGTGTGTGTGTGTGTGTGTGTGTTTGAGAGTGAGTGAGTGAGTGAGTGAGTGAGTGTGTGTGTGTGTGTGTGTGTGTGTTTGAGAGTGAGTGAGTGAGTGAGTGAGTGAGTGTGTGTGTGTGTGTGTGTGTGTGTTTGAGAGTGAGTGAGTGAGTGAGTGAGTGAGTGTGTGTGTGTGTGTGTGTGTGTGTTTGAGAGTGAGTGAGTGAGTGAGTGAGTGAGTGTGTGTGTGTGTGTGTGTGTGTGTTTGAGAGTGAGTGAGTGAGTGAGTGAGTGAGTGTGTGTGTGTGTGTGTGTGTGTGTTTGAGAGTGAGTGAGTGAGTGAGTGAGTGAGTGTGTGTGTGTGTGTGTGTGTGTGTTTGAGAGTGAGTGAGTGAGTGAGTGAGTGAGTGTGTGTGTGTGTGTGTGTGTGTGTTTGAGAGTGAGTGAGTGAGTGAGTGAGTGAGTGTGTGTGTGTGTGTGTGTGTGTGTTTGAGAGTGAGTGAGTGAGTGAGTGAGTGAGTGTGTGTGTGTGTGTGTGTGTGTGTTTGAGAGTGAGTGAGTGAGTGAGTGAGTGAGTGTGTGTGTGTGTGTGTGTGTGTGTTTGAGAGTGAGTGAGTGAGTGAGTGAGTGAGTGTGTGTGTGTGTGTGTGTGTGTGTTTGAGAGTGAGTGAGTGAGTGAGTGAGTGAGTGTGTGTGTGTGTGTGTGTGTGTGTTTGAGAGTGAGTGAGTGAGTGAGTGAGTGAGTGTGTGTGTGTGTGTGTGTGTGTGTTTGAGAGTGAGTGAGTGAGTGAGTGAGTGAGTGTGTGTGTGTGTGTGTGTGTGTGTTTGAGAGTGAGTGAGTGAGTGAGTGAGTGAGTGTGTGTGTGTGTGTGTGTGTGTGTTTGAGAGTGAGTGAGTGAGTGAGTGAGTGAGTGTGTGTGTGTGTGTGTGTGTGTGTTTGAGAGTGAGTGAGTGAGTGAGTGAGTGAGTGTGTGTGTGTGTGTGTGTGTGTGTTTGAGAGTGAGTGAGTGAGTGAGTGAGTGAGTGTGTGTGTGTGTGTGTGTGTGTGTTTGAGAGTGAGTGAGTGAGTGAGTGAGTGAGTGTGTGTGTGTGTGTGTGTGTGTGTTTGAGAGTGAGTGAGTGAGTGAGTGAGTGAGTGTGTGTGTGTGTGTGTGTGTGTGTTTGAGAGTGAGTGAGTGAGTGAGTGAGTGAGTGTGTGTGTGTGTGTGTGTGTGTGTTTGAGAGTGAGTGAGTGAGTGAGTGAGTGAGTGTGTGTGTGTGTGTGTGTGTGTGTTTGAGAGTGAGTGAGTGAGTGAGTGAGTGAGTGTGTGTGTGTGTGTGTGTGTGTGTTTGAGAGTGAGTGAGTGAGTGAGTGAGTGAGTGTGTGTGTGTGTGTGTGTGTGTGTTTGAGAGTGAGTGAGTGAGTGAGTGAGTGAGTGTGTGTGTGTGTGTGTGTGTGTGTTTGAGAGTGAGTGAGTGAGTGAGTGAGTGAGTGTGTGTGTGTGTGTGTGTGAGTGTGTGTGTGTGTGTGACCTTGGCGCTCTCAGGAAACTCCTCCGGTGTGCAGTGCAGCAGGACGTCTCCTTTACCCGGCAGGTTCATGTAGACGCAGTTTGCAGCCAAATCATCAGGAAGTGTCAGTTTATCATATTTATGATCGCTCATCTGCTGCATAATCTACAGAGACCGACAGATAATACAAAAATTAGATCATCAGTTTGTAATAGGATGGTCACATAATGGAATAAACTTAATAAAAGAAAGGTCAAGTATTTAAAGAAAGAAAAATAAAGAGGATAATATTAAATAAATTATTCAACTGAGCACATCATTGAATTTTGTATTTTTAATTTATGAAATAATATTTTTAAGAATTACAATATATTACAAAATACATTTTAATTTATGTGTGCATTCCAGTGTTTTAGTATCACTGATATACTGTTATAGGTTTTGTTAATATTTTAATTTTATATTTTCTGTTTTTATTTATTTAATTACAGTTGAATAATGTTGATGTGTTTGTCATTTTTATTTGTTTTCATTTATTTAATTTTGGTAATTTTAGTAAGAAAAACAAAGAGAAAGAATCCATAAATATAAATGAATGTATTAATAAATATAAATAATATAATATCAAATTATTATTTATGTGAGCACATAATGACATTTTGGATTTCTTATTTGTGAAATAATATTTTTAATAAAGTAATAGACAGAAATTGATAGAATAAAATACATTTTTAATGAATTAATGTGTGCATTCCAGTGTTATTGTAGTATCACTGATATACTTTTAAAGTTTTTGTTAATATTTAGGATTAGATTTTATTTTTATAGTTTCTGTTTTCACTTTAATTTTAGTTAAAGTTTTAGTAATTTTGTTGAATTGTGTTGAACGTGTTGTTTTTGTCATTTTTATTAGTTTAAAAAAATGTCTATACAGTTTGTATAAATTTGTATTTATTAGTTTTAGTTTAGTTTTATTTAGGTCGTTTATTAAGAAAAAGAATTAGAAAGACTTTATAAGTATAAATATAAATGAATGCATTAATAAAAATAATAATATAATATAAAATAAATTATTTATCAGGGAACATCATGAAATTTTGTCTGTTTTATTTGTGAAATAACATTTATACTGTGAAACATAGAATATAATAATAAATAAATGTTCAAGTAAAAAGTAAGAAACTCTTCACGGTTCTAGGCTTATTCTACAACTATCTGATGACCTCATCGAGAGCAGCGGAGCCTCTGATTGGTCGGTTTGTTTTTGCAGCACTAAATCCTGTTGTTGGAATATTTCCTGTGAAAAATAACAGACTGAACACAGATCACACACACACACACAGCCACAGACACAGACACAG